CAGTGTGCACTGAAGATCACATTGTCATCTTGGTTTTTTTCTTTGTCTTGCCAGTGGTTGGATCGCAGCTCTAACTGGCCTGAACACCAGTATCCCTGTAGGAATCATCATGTTACTCATCGCAGCCCTCTTTACTGCTCTGTCTGTGGGCTCCCTCATTATGTTTAAAAAGGTAACACAACACAAAGACGGCATCCTTACAGTGACAAAGGATATTATTAGTAAAAGGTTTTGCTGTGACAATAGAGACGCTGTAAAAGTGAGATGTGGCACTCTGAGAAATCAGTGGGAGAATTTTGGAATGCCAAAGATGGCAGGAGTGCCGAGCAAATCGACAGCTGAAGCGGGAAATATGAGAGCCAGTTGGGCAGTGGCAGACAGATCTACTTGTAACTGTAGTAAAGAGTTAGGGTAGTGTACTCTATAATATCTGCTCTCTGGATTGCAACCTAAACGAGGTCATGATGTTCTGTATTTCGCATTTTGGGCAAAGTCACCAAATCAAATGTAAATGAAGATTCAATCAATTCAGTTTTTATGTGAAGTTGACCTCCGAAATTAAAGTTATGGCTCGTTCTCCATTCATTTTAATTGGGGCTTTGGTTTTATTAGCTTGGAATAAGTGCCCGCAAATGTTGCCAGGATGGCTGCCAATAAAGAAGACTTAAGTGGACAGAGAAGAGGGAAACATCTAAACTAGGGATCTAAAACTACAGCCCACTATGATCCTAAGTTGGCCTTTTAGTAGTGTATCTCCTCCTTTCTCTCACTATAAATTTAATCCTTGTGATGGCTTAGAACAAAGAAAAAGAAGTGCAGTCTCCACAGTGTGACTCAGTTTTTCTATTTGATAAAAAAATGTTCTTGTAGTAAATGAAACAAATCTGTTACAAAACTGCTTTTTTGACTGTTAAATCAACAAAATTTCAAAGGTTTTTATCAATTTGCAGAAAAGACTCTTTAAAATCTTTTTTTAGTTTATAGTGAAAGATCAGAGAGTTTTTACTTTGCTGGTGTTTTTAAAAAAAATCTGAAATTAATGCCACTCTCCACATTCTCCAGAGCTGTCCGGTGGACCAGATTGTATTTTTTTTCCCAGCCCATTCTGGCCCCTTATGTTTGACACCCCTGGTCTACATCATCTTGTAGTGTGTTAGAAATAAGAATAGTGCTGTATGCCAAGAAGAATCAGTGCTATGACTGGACAGGAAGAGAAACATCTTTCCTATCGTGCTGTGCTGCAGTTCTTTTGGTAAATTTAAACCAAATAAATTGATTGCAACTAATTCCTTGTCTTCTTTCCACAGGTGCACGCGCTCTATCGCACCACCGGTGCTAGTTTTGAGAAAGCCCAGCAAGAGTTTGCGACCGGGGTCATGTCTAACAAGACCGTTCAGACTGCAGCTGCCAACGCTGCAGCCAATGCTGCATCCAACGCTGCTCGCGGGGCCTTCAAAGCTCATCCATAAACAGATGTGGTACACGTGCTCAGTGCTCATTTAAACACACACGCATATACTTAAACACACACACACAGAAAAAATGGAGATGCACAACTCTGGCCCTGCTGGTCCTCGGATCAAATTGATAATATTTGTGAATGTTTGCCCTGCACCGACACACTTTGCTTAAAAAGTGTGAAGCAAAATAACGGAAAAAACGATCGGAGTTGTCCATCTTCACTTTAAATCATATATCAGCTCTCCTGCATCCACCTGGTCAGCTTTTCAGTCAGGTGACTATCTGCTCACATCCCACAAAACATCCAGCAAGTGACTCAAGGTGTGCTCCGACTGTGTGAGATTTCATCGCACACGCTTGCGCACTCCTTTACTCTCCTTGTTCGTCTGTCCCCTCGAGGTGATCCTAGGTCAGGTAAAGGTCGCAGCTCGACCATACCTTATTTCTGTGAGGGTGATGACCCCGAAACAGTTTCCTGTCTGATAAATGAAAAGTGATCTGACCGTGGTGTTTTGCACATAGTTTGGTTTTCTTGCCCGTATACTGAAAGTGGCTGGGCCTCTGTGCGAATGTCTGCTTCACTCCAAGAAAATTGTGGCTCTGATTTCTTTCTTTCTTCTTTTTTTTTTTTTTTTAATATAATCCAGTGCTCCGTCATTAAGCTCTGAAAGGTAAATGGTACCTTGTCCTATATCTGTGCTTTTGTTGTGAGACAAGTACCATTCTTGTTATAGTAAAAGACAAAACAAACAAAAAAAAAAAAAATCACAAGAATAGGAAAATGTCTGTATGTTCTTATATAAGGACCTGCCCCCCCCAACAACACCTGCCAGGTGAGCCATTTTTTTCCTGCTCTGTGTGCTACTTTGATTGACAACGTGGGCTGGGTCAGCATCTCTAGATTTGACAGCATGATAGCGGCATGCATGTTTAGCACACCCAAGGTAGCTAAGTCTTTGGCAAAGTCATTCTTCCCACTTCCTTTTGGTCCCAGCTACAAGGAGCTGGTTTTCGGTGAATGTCTGCCTACTTATCCTCCCTCGGTTTTGCTGTGAGGGCTGTTTGCATGTCTCGGTGGCTGCCTGACAGAAGATGACGGTTAAGAGAAGAAAATTGGAGGGAAAAGGGGAATGAAAATTGAATATTAGCTTTTTTTTTCCCCTTATGTGTGTATTAACGCAAAAACTGTGTGGCCCTCGGTTGTTTTTGTAGCTCCTCATACTCGAAAACTAACGCTGCTATGAATCTCAGAGGCGCTCAGTCGTGGCCTCCCGCTGTCGTGTTTCCTATTGAAAAGGATGCGTACCATTCATAGGGATCAGACCTGCCTTTTCTCACAGAAGAATCACTGTCCACAGTTCTGGATAAAGTGATAAAGCTATCATTTTTCCTGAGATTAACCTGCATACATAAACTTGTAAAAAAAACATTGACATCGTGTATATGTACACTACATAGGCTAACACTCCATTTTTGTTTTCCTCGGTCAGTAGTGAATTACTGGCATTTGAAGTTTTATAGCCAAAATAAGCATTAATATAACAGAAGATTGGACTTGGGGTGCCGTCACTATGATACACTAATTTATCTACAATAATAACAGTGTTATCCAGCACCAAGTTGTACAGACTACTGTCACTGATGTGAAATATGGATGTGGGTTTCTTCATTTTTTTTTCTTTGTGCTTTAGCACCTCTCATGATGTTGGTGAGTGTGTGAAGATGTGCATGGCAGAAGACGGGTGATAACTGGCACTACTGTTATTAAAAATGTATAGCCTGAACTTTATCGTGGACGAAATGCTGTCAGTGTTAGCTAGCTGAGGCTCGGTAATTTGTCCTGAAAGAATAAGCCTAGATCTCTCGCAGTATTCTTTTGATTTGGACGTAATTTCATCAAAATTCATTGCACATTTCTTGTTTTATGTTGAACGTAGCGCAAGAGAAAATTTTTTTTTTATTTATGGTGTAATTTAAACTGTTTGCATTTTGTTTCCTTTTTGGTTTGTGTGGGTTTTTTAATGACACTGTCATAGCATCAGCTAGATTTAAAGGTTTTTTTTAAGTGTTTAATGACTTTGCAACTTGACCTTGCAAGAGGTGTGCTTGTCGTACGAGGATGTGTGTTTATGGTCGGTATGAAAGAGGAAAAGAAATAAAATAAGCTCCCTCAAGTGTTATTCTATGTCCTGAAAAGCTGTGAGAAATCTACCAAATGTCCATACAGATTTGTTTTCAAATCTCAGTTTGTGGTGTGATTCCTTTCCATGTTTTACTTTGAGGTATTCTTTTTCCTTACATACACCCACATGAGTCCCATCTATCTATAGTTTCAAACAGTTGTTTTACAAAGCCATGCTGCAGTGGGTAATTTCTTGATGTATTTGATGAGCTGGTCAGCAGTACAGAACAATGTGTTTGAAGTTTGCCAACACAAAACTGTGTTTCGGACCTGTGACTATGTTATTTCACTGAATCAGAGAAAAAGAAAAAAAAACTCATCCAGAAAGGGACACTTGTATATTTTGTAAAGTTGAAAAATCGATCCCCATTATCAAATCACGTGTAAAAAGAAGTAATGCACTCTTGTCTGGCCTTTGTCGCATGTGAAATAGTTTGAGTTTTGTATATTTATGGTATTAACATGAAATAAAATTTCAAAGAAATGATTGTGGATTTGTTATATAATTACAAATTTATCCTCTTTCCGTGATTTAAAAACAAAACAAAAAAAACATTAAGAATGACCATGGAGAAGGGTATCTGCTCAAATTCAAACTGTGTCAAAATGAGGAAGGAAAGGTGGTCTCGGAATTTCAGAAACTGCCGTTTTACTGGGAATTTTCCACACAACAATCTAAGGTTTACAGAGGATGAACTGAAAGAGAAAAATCGGTGAGCCGTAGTTCTCTAGGCAAAGATTGTGCTGATGCATGCAGAGGTCAGTGGAGAATTATTCAGCTTGAAGCAGTGTGACCAAAGGCAACAGTAACTCTCACATCTTGGTTGTAACTGCTTGTTATAATGAACCAAAGTATGCAGAAGATAATCTCTGAGCATACAATTAAACCTTGAAGCAGATGTGCTACAGATGTCTCTCAGCTAACTAAAACTTGCTCTACCATTTGCAAGATGGTAGGCTCATTCTCATGACAATTTTTTTTTTATTCATACATCCATTCATTTATTTATTTTACTGGTCATGTTTGAATACAAATTACTATTTTTTGGTGGCATACTAAACAAAAAGTTTAAGAACCACTTAGACTCCGAAGCCCGTGACACAGTTTGCAGGGTATCATACATACATGCTTAGAGATGAAAAGATTCACGAGATTTTCAAAAGTTAAACAAATGGATTTAATATAAAATTTAAAAATTGCCAGTAAACAAAAAAAAAAACAAAAAACAACCAACTTGTTAATCATCTCATATCACTTCAGATTTACCTCACAAGCCTCTTAACACTGTTATGAGCTAATGTCCACCGTCCGTCTCCAGGGGTCAGTGTTTCATCAGGAAGTCTTGGCACAGTAGAAACAGAGTTTACACATTTCTAACACAGAGTAAAGAAGTCCTGCTTTATTTAAGCACGGGTTCTCTGTCCTCAGATATATCACCCTCTCATACACGAAGCCTCATACAGTGTTCCACTTATACTCTTTTGTTAATGTAACAAAAATAGCAGACAGTATATATTTAATCACAGTCATACTATGTGTTTGGATGTAAATCCATATCACAAGTTCACTTTCATTCTGCCTACTTGCTCTCAGAAAACAACACTAATGGAATTATTGCACATCTACAATGAATAAAAGCACTGCATCACATGAATCCTAACATATACAGAAACATTTAAATGGATGAATTAGAAATTAATACAATATGCAGCAATGTGAAATGATTTAAAGGCAGAGTGCAAAATAAAATAAGCTCCAATTGGAAAACCATCAAACTGCAATGGAGGTTCACTTTAATCAGCTTTGCAAAAGTGTCCAAATCACTCACGAGTGGGTATGAAGTGTAATGACCCAGTGGGAGGTTTTTTCAATCCTTATCTTTTCCTTTTGGGCACCTTCACAAAGCCAGACTTGTGTTTATGGCTTTCTGCATGTCATACGGTATTTCATGATAAACCACCTGCTTCATCTTGCTGCTTTAGCCCATCACGAAGCCACACACAATGAAACATCTGGCAGAGCTCTGTTTTCTTTTGTTTGTTTCTGCATACGCACACACAAACTGTTATTAAGCTACACAATCAGTTAAACAGGAGGAGCTCCCTTTGAAACTAAAAATCCCTTCTGTGGTGATTTTCAACTTAAAGCGTTTAAAAAGAGTCTCAATGTCCTGCTACCACAGAATCAGAGCACATAGGCATTTAAGAAACCTCAAGTTAATGTCTATCACCAGAAGTGGCAAAAGTACAGATTTTCTTTACTCAAGCATTATTATTAATAAAATATTTGTACAAGAATGTTGCTGGGTATTTGAGTTGTTGAATCTGGTAGTGGTTAGTAATCGAACCCTATGAATGAACATAATGATGGTTAAAACAAATAAACTGCCTTTCTGGCCGTGTTTAACATGTTAAATCTAAAAACCTATCCACTGCCAATCCAATTTATTTCACTAACCTCCTGCTATTCCAGCAAAAAAAAAAAAGTATAAGTATATAAGTTTTCCTCCTTCTCCAGCTTTACCAGAGATTTTTAAACTGAAGTTCTAAAATGGGGGAAGCATTTCATTCCCTTTTCAACTGCTCATCAGGTAGTCTCCATCACGAGAGAGTAATTGTTTTTTTTTTAAAGTCGGGGGGGGGGGGGGGGGGGGGGGGGGGGGTGTTATTAAGGCCGTTTACAACAATCAGCTGATTTTATCCAGACTATCACGAGGGGGGAAGAAAATCCCCACTGAGAAACATCTGTCCTCCCTCCACGAAGTTGTAGTCCACATCAGAGAAATTACACCGTGGGTGATCTTCTGCAGCTTCCCGGGTTTTCTAAAGGCTCAGAGCAGGCAGATCAGACTTTTCCCATCCTCAATCTCCTCCTGAACTTTATCGCTGGAAGTAGCGATCTCGGCCTGTGCAGACAGAACGGCACACAGGAAGGTTGCTAGCGTTCCTCCTATCGCTGTGTAGAACGCCCAGCCAAGTGAACAATTAAATGGTCGAAACGGCAACGCATCGGAGCCACAGTAGAACTTCACCTTCTCTGAACCCCAACCAGCAGGGTACAGCATGAGGCCGACCATCAGTAACAGGCCTGGAGGAAGAGCAGGTGATGATATGAGGGGTTTAGTCATGTCAGAGCTGAAGGTTTGAACAAATCGCAGTGCAGGTGGGAGAATAGTGAGTCAACTTTGCTAAAGACAACACCAATTTTTCAGCTGACGAGCTGATTTGTAATGGGTGGAGAGAACTCCTTTGACCCTCATCCTCAGTGGTGATATCACGTAATTACAGACTACCTACTCAATAAAGCTGGGCAGTCAAACCCGCCTGTGTGATTCATTGCAAAATATACAGTGGTAAGATTAATAAACTTGGGAAAGTATGATGAACATCAGATGTTGTAAAGTCAGATGTTGTAACTTGCCAACACAAAAGCAGTACTGACATTCCTTACAGACTATGGCATGATTTCAAAACTGAGCTCGAACAGCCTTGCTTGCACAGACTTGATGTGATAGACGCTATACTGGCATATTAGCAATAGCTCTGGAGCAAGTGATATGCAGCTCCTCAGTTTCTTGAATTTGACCATGATTCAGCACTGCTATTCTTGAAATCAGTTCCTGTAACATACAACATCTAGTATTAATGGTGAATGAACCCAGTAGATTCATGGCAATGAAAAAAGAAGAAAAAAAACTTAAATTCATGTATTTGTTGTATGTTTGTAGCCTCATGGCAAGTCAGCTATAATAAGTTCAAGCCCACTGCAACCCTAAATTCAATAAACAATTATGGAGGGTTGGTTTGCAGGCTTGTTATTTTTCTAAGAGTAAATATATGGAAACTCAGAAACTTTGTGTCTGGACTCAAAAATGAATCTGTCTTGATTGAGACTGGTCTTTTTAATAAATCCTTCTGTTTATAATGTTTCTATTTTACTACTTTATTTGACACCTGACTGTGTTATAGTATATTAATTGTTTATTTTTATTGCCATTTGCTGGATTGAGGTATGATTTCTGCCACCTATCCAACAACTATTCTTCATCTTCATCTTTCACGGGCGGTCGTTGCTCAAGAGTTGGCAGTTTGCCTTGTAATCGGAAGGTTGCCGGTTCGAGCCCCAGCTCCAGTGGTCAGAGGGCCTGGTGGTGCCAGTGTCCAGCAGCCTCGCCTCTGGGGCCCCCCAGGGCAGCTGTGGCTATAATGTAGCTTGTCATCACCAGTGTGTGAATGTGTGGATGACTGACTGTGTAAAGTGCTTTGGGATCCATAGGGACTGAGTAAAGCGCTATACAAACACAGACCATTTACCATCTATTTGTGTCATATTTGTATAAATCATAACGACCAATAAATATGAACACTTAAAAAAAATGTTTTTCACTGAGAAAACATAGGGAATTGTAATCCCCGCATTTAAGTTTCTTTTTAAAAAAAGAAGGCTAGAAATGGCCAGCAGAGGGCGACTTACATGGTTACAAAAAGATGTCCTGATCTCACGAAACCCCTTTTATGGTGAGTTTATGGTCCCAATTCTTAGTTTCAGTTTTTTATTATTATTATTATTTAATAGAACATGATTTCAGTTTGTGTCTTTTTAAAAAAAAAAAAAAAAAAAAAAAAAAAAAAAAAAAAAATTATATATATATATATATATATATATATATATATATATATATATATATATATATATATATATATATATATATATATATATATATATATATATTTATTTATTTATTTATTAATTTATTTATTTATTTATTTATTTTCATTTTGTATACTATGAGATAAAAACCTAAAAAAACTTAGATATGTAATTTCTGAAATCAGTTTTCATTGATATTTTGTAAACAGTAGACTACATACTAGTATACTCTGGGGTGACCCCTTAATCTGACTGGTAACTGGTTTTACTCCAGCAACTTTATTATATATGCCCTTTCATACTATAATTTATTTATGTCATAAAATAAAAAACATTTCAATTTAGTGGAAGCTGTCCTCAGAGCATAGTTTACATATATATGAAGGTGGGAGGGGGCACATGATTACTTTCTGTAACAAAGATACTTAACACATACATACAGATTAACAATTTACCTGCAACAGCCTGAAGCAGTCCACAGATGTTGAATATGCTCTTCTTCAGGATGCTCTGAAAACACAGGCTGAAGATGGAGATAAAGGCCACACACCCAAGCACTAATGTCCCCGCTGCCAGAAACAACATGGCAGCCTGCCAGAAGCCGCTGGCCACTTCTCCAAATGTCGTGGCATAGGGCCCACAGTTCACCTGCGAGGTCCCAATACGAAGGCAGCGGTTGTAAAGGCCGAGAGATGGCCGGTACTCTGAGTCCACTCCTGCCCTGGTCCCGCTGGTGTCATTCCGAGGCGATCCCAGCAACCAATCCGGGCTCATGAATGCAATGAGCTCAGCAAAGGCCACTACAATGCTGAGTAGGGTCCACAGCATGGAACGGCATGTTACAATAACATGGCACATGGCTTTAGCTCAGAGAAGGTAAAAAACAATGATGAAAAACTTAATAAAAATTCTTGAAGCCCTTTAAGCTATTGGAGAGTTTCAGTTCCCTTCCTTAGAAAGAGAAAGGTCTGTTAGGTTCCCTGCGCAGATCCAGATGGGCTGCTGATCTTATCCTCTCAGAGCAGATGTTGTCCCTTCTCTCACCTCTTCTTTGCCTTCTTCCTCTTTGAGGTAATGTTTGGCTTCAGACATCCCAAATGGCAACAACGCACCAAATCAGCTTCCTTTAGTCATGATACCGCCTGAACAGCAAGCCTAAATGAACAGAGACACACTGAAGTCAGCAACACAACAAGGACAGGGTGTAAGAAACATCTACAAATGATTCTCCAGCAACTATGAATCATCACGCTCCTCCTTAGGCTTTCCAGATGACAAACAGTGTCCAATTTGTACCCTCTGTCATCAAACATTCATCCTTACCAAAAACCTACTCCCAAAGCGCTACTTTAAAGTCAAAAACAGCTTGTTATGAGTGTGTAATAAGGCAAACTTCCCAGTGTGTGCTAGAACAGTCATGATGAATCACAATGCAGAGTTTATTCTGTCCTCGTTTTACTCATGGTAGACATCTGGCTGGTTGATTTTATCTGCAATGGGATAGAAACTGTGTTTTGCCACTAAGGAGGTGTTAGCGCAGAGCAGTACAAAACTCTGTTACAGCATGCCACATTTGACAGAATCAAACAAAAGCCACTTTCAGTATTCACTAAAGTGGGTGGCTCCACATTTTTGATTTGGTAGATTTTATTTTTGGCCGGATGCCTTTCCTGATGCAACCCCCAAGGAATTTGTGTCTCCTCCTGGAATCAAACCATTAATCTTTCACTTGGGAAATGTGTAAACCACTACACTATGGAACCACTGATAGAATCACACAATATAATGTGCCATATCCTCGCCGCTGTCACAGGCAGACACAACATCAATGGGATCCTTCAGTTCACTGCTTAAATTACAGCCTGAATAAATGAATGTACATCAGCATTAGTTACTGGCTTTCATTAAGCTTAGCAAAGCAAAATGCATTTCTTTGTTCTTTATTCAACAGAAATAAAATCTGTATTAGTGCAATGGCCAGAAGTCCCAACAATCAATGGCACTGTTGCTGCATTATGATTTACTTGCTGTGACCAGATTGGCCTCGACGCATCCTTGGTCTTAGGGGAGCAATGAAGTTTCTTGGAAACCCTCTGATGTCATGAACCAGCTGCATGATACATACAGAAAAATATGCAGGATGTGTTATCTTCACTATCTTGGCAGATCTCACTGGTAGATCCAAGGGAAACCTGTGTCTGTGCATTCCCCCAGACAATATTTAAAGATTTTGTAAAAAATAAACTAAACTAACTAAACCTTCATTCATTTTCTAGTTCTGCAAAAGCAAAGAACTAAAAAAAATTCATGTCTTTTGTACAAAGGGAGTGGGAGATATTTCAGAGATCTCAAAATCTGGAACCATAAAACCAAACGAATATTTTTGGCACAGCTTGGCACCACTGGAGTTAAGACAGAAGGGGTTCTCCCGTCTGTATCAGTTATGAGAAGCCATTAGTCAAGCACTTTATAGAGCCATAACTTTCACATAGAAGGGAGGAGAGGCTTGTTTAACTAATAAGAGTCAATGTTATTGCTCTAATTCTTGCTGAATGTGTCATTTTGCCAGTGATGAAAAGTTCAGCACAAAAAAAATTAATTAAGAGCTATAAGTCACTCTGGTGACCTGCCAGGAATACTCCAAGTACAGCACCAGGAATCACATAATCAACCCTCCAGCCTCAATTAAAGGCGATAAATCATTACACCACATCTGTCACGATCCAAGTCATTTCAAGGCAAAACACTTCAGGAATTTCCAGACCAAGTATTATCTGTTACCCCTACACCGAATCACGTGAAGTCAGGATTAACCAGATCATAACAACAAAGTCGAAGCATGACGACATTTGAGTAGCAGGTATGAGATTTGGAACGGTTAAGCCGTGATTCAGTTCAGGGGGATTCAGTCATGTCTGCAGTCCCCTGTTGTGTTTGAAAGTCATGGCAGGATGTGTTTGTAGTTTGTGCACAAGTCTGCTTTGATTTTACTTGGACGGTGAAGCCGTCTTAAAGATTCCTAGTTAAATCTCATCTCGTCTGCTTGCGCTTGAGCAGAATTTTAGTGCTTCAGGACACTTGAACTTTATTCTCTTACTACTATCTCACACACTAATTAGAGATCACACAAAATTCCAGCTAAAGTACACTGTCTACAAATAATTACCCAGAGGGAGGTTAAACAGAGGGAGTGCATTTCAATTACAACTGGGCTGAGTAGAGATGAAGAAGATCCGCCAACATCACTGGTCGTTTTCAGCCCCATAAGGAAATGGCAGAAATAAACAGGAAGCATCAGTGTCTGTGCAAACGTTTTAGAGATTCACTCATGCATTGTGAGGATGACCTGTCAAACTACCCATCTAAACACAGTGTGTCTGAATGAGCTGTGAATCCGAATTTCAGGGAATTGTAGCTGTAAAGAAAAGACCGAGAACAATATAAGCAGGTATTTGAAGTGTGTTTATGTGTTTGAGGATGGTTTAGGGAGTGCCCTATTCTATTACAGTCCTTGAGATTGTTCCAGGCCTCTTCACACACACAATGGCTCCTTATTGTTATCACCGTTACCATTTGGCAGTCATATCACACAACAGCACTCACCGCACAGGCAACTTTTTAGCTCTATTTATAGAAATCATTACAATACAGAAATGGTGTTTTTAAGTGCGTGTGCATTGTGAGAAAATCAATGCGTGTTAATGTGGCTCTTTCAAGCGCACATAATCATGTGCGTACATTTGTTTGCATGAGCTTTTGTTTTTGGCTACACAGTCTACACTTTTAGTTCCTCTGGAGTTTGAGCCGTCTGTTTGCAGCTGATTATAACCCATCCAGCCTGAGCATGGTGCTCTCTGTTAAGACTACAATGCCCACAAATTAGCAGCTCTGTACAGAGATGGAGCCTACAAAACATACCTCGTCGAGGCAGTCAGCAGGCACCGTGTGATCTCTCTCAGCTACTACAGGAAACCTCTTCACTCACAGCTCGTCTTCCGCTCTCTAGTCTCAAAGAGCGCTGTCAGAATTAAGCCTTAAAAAGTTAATGTTACACTTTTATTAGGCCCAAGTATTTTGAAGTATTATCTATGCTTGTATTTAACTCAAAATTGTAGAGCGCATACAAATTAATCTGCAAGTAACTCATTACTTGCAGATTAATTTGTCTGACAAAGTCAAAGAAAAACATCTACAAAAAGCCCATTTCTTTCCGGGGTTACCAAGCTTGGCTGATCAATACTAATACAACCGCTATATAAATGCAATCCACTATTATTATTATTATTATTATTATTAGTACCAACTTGTTGATAGGCATTTGCCTGAGTCTGTGGATGTATGCATGCATATATATGCACATTCTGTGCATAAGAGTGCTTACTGCAGTATTGTTGAGAGAGCATAAAGGTCACTACATCCTGAAATTGATGAATACTTTCCGCTTGTTTGGTGGTTGTTCTGGGAAAGCGCTTGAACAGCACTTCCTCAGCAAGGTCAAGATTTTCTGTGTGTTTATATGAGCACTGGGGAGGAGTATTTTACACTTAACGGCACATCAGACACTCAGAAATATGACTTATTCATAACCCGGTGATCAAGGCGCTGTGGGTGAGAGGCCTTTGCTTCCCTGTTGCTTTTGATAGATACATATCTTGAAACAGGCAGATCTTTGTTACTGCAGTTCTCTCTGTGCTTGTGGAGTCGCTCTCATATGCATCATCCCCAACACCGACAGACCGTGGAGACTCTTTCATGAATCCTCCCTGATGCAGAGTTTGATGTTACGGTAGATATGCAACAGGATGAAAGATGTTCAGCGGTAATGTGGTTCTGGATCTGATCTCGACCTGCTTTATCCCACGCTGCTCTCCTGTCCTGACACAAACCAAGCCTGCTGCACAGCATTACAAGCATGTAGAGAGGGCCCCGAGCCAACTTACACACAGCCTTCTAATACTTCATTCAACAAGCCAACATGAACAGTCTCCTTGCTGCTACGAGACAAACTTTCTCTCATGGAATTTACAAAAAATGCAGTCTGTGGGCCAACAGCCAGCCATGTGGACCACAGGTTAGACATGAAACCTGTTGTTCAAGCAGTTTGTATGCCCAGTAAAGTTTCTACTAATGAAACGAAATGTCCGTTTGACTCCAAGCCCCAGATAAAGCAGCAGATACATATGTGGGTCAGTCAGCTAGCCGTTAGAGGAAGCCGCTGAGGAGTTAATTGGTCTGAGATATCAGCAACAGTGCTGGTATCATGCCAAGGTGCTGAGGTAATGAGTGCAGGCCACTGTAGTCTGTTCTGAAGGGTGAAAAGTGAATGAGGACTGAAGGTGGGTGGTTAAGAGATCTAAAGCATGCTGACCCAGATTATTTGGTAAAGGGAGGATAGACACAGCCATTAAAATGGGAAACAAAGTCCATTCATTGAAGATGTGAGAGACAATGAAAATGCTATTGTTTTTCTGTGATGAGCCTGTTTAGAAAAGCATGTTTGAGCTGGTAGATCAGCCGCCCATAGCAGATGACCCCCCCGTTAATTTGGATAGAGATCCCCCAGTAGCAAATTTTTCATAACCTAAACCATAAGCCCTAAGTCGAGCTCTGCTCTGCGCTGCTCCTCTGGAAGTAAGGGCCTCATAAAAGGCTGACTCACTATCTTTAGGGCAACACAAGGGCTCATACAATATGTGAACAGCAAGCACACTCAAATGATAAAACTTTCTGTCTGCATCATCACAAATTAGGAAAATGAAAAATAAATATGATACTAAAGCAGTTTGATGCCAGTCAGAGTTGGGCGGGATCAAACGTGTCCTTCTACCATAAAAGAATGCAAGCAGCTGAGCTCCATATGACGCAAGTGAGAATGGAGCAACGCATCCACCACCCACGCCGGAAAAAATATATTAACCGCATGTCTTTATTTTCCAATTAATTCCAGTACATTATTAATAAAAGCTTCTTGGTGCTTCATCAAGACTCATCATCACTTGTGGCCTTCAGTGTAGACTTGTAAACTTTTATCAGTGCTCATTTTTATCTGCTGAACAAAAACACATCAACGCCACGCTCTCTTCACCTCCAACAAACTTGTGAAACCAAGACCATGTTTACCATCGCAAATGTCAGCTGTTTAAACAAAAAATTAAGAATGAAAAATAAGAGATGTTGCAAACAGAATTAATACGTTTTACCTAGTCCTTTGATTGCCACACCTAAACTTATAGCCTCAGGGGATTAACCATCCACCTTACTGCAGTGAGTGCTTCAACAAGAGAGCTGAGAGCACCCAAGAGTGAGTCACACAAGGCATACCAAGCATAAAAGACAATAAGTGCAAGATAAGTTTGATTTCTTTGGTTTACTTGCTCAATTGTCCCAGATATTATGAAACAAGAGCTGTTCTCATCAAGAATTCTCTCTTGCTAACCATAACCATGTGAGCTGCTGCTTTTGCTGCCCTCCATAAAGAGCGGAATGAAAGAGCTGCAGGAGGAGAAAATGTTTCCCATGGATAGGCATTTACCACAATTTGTGTCTCATAACGTCTGCCACTGAGTGATGGCCACCATCAAATGCATGTTTAGCGCTCCAGAGTGAGTTAGATTTATTTTGCAGGCCCAGATTAAACACAATAAAACATTTCAAGCTGCAGAAGACTATTACTGCTGATGAACAAACGCCAGCAGTTCTAACTTTCATATACAACCACTGGACCTAAGGTTTCGATGACAATAGAGGGGCCCAAAAATGTAAACAATAAGTCAACAGCGAGAAGCCCTCCAACATCATGCCATAACAATAGATCCCACTTCACTGACAAACAAACACAAATACACAATCATAAACGGTCCCAGCCTGTGCTCACTCAACCTGGCTATAATCGCATAAAAAAAAACACATGACTTCCCCACAGAAAAGTATCAGCCAGGCTCATTTGTGCGCATGTGTGTGTGTGGATGTGCCAAAAAAACAGAAGAAAAATCAGCAGTCTTCATCTGGTAGACTTCAACTCAACAAAGGCAACACAAAGCCATGCCGACACCATTCCCCCCCCTTACTCACTCTACCTCTCCAAGACATGCCACCGTTGGCCCAGAATGCACTTCTTCACTCTCAAAAACAGGTCGCCATGGCCCCTAACCTATTCAATCTGTGCAACACCCCGGCCTCTCACTCCCCATGCAAACTCTGTTGTAGCCTCACAGTTTGTGATGCACAAAGTCAGTAAGTGACCCTCACATTTCACTTACACAAAGACATGCATGACGCGGGCTAGCTCTACCCCTTCAGCCGTCCCGCTCTCCAGTTTGTTTCTGAAAGGATGATTGACGTACACACAATCTATTCCTTTCTTTTCTATTTTTTCCTTTCCTTAAAAGATCATAAGAGCTTTGGCATGTTAATTAGATTTGTATTCTATAAAACTACTATAAACACTAATATATCCATTTGGAAAGGATTTAAATACTAAAATCCCTTCAAATCCTTGTTTGTATATGTATGTGACATTTCCTCTCACTGCATTCACACTCTGAGATTTACATTCAGTTAGCAATGAGAAATGTATCAAAACACACGGACGAAAACAATAATTACAAGGAGGTAAAAACAAAAAAGGCCACACAACACAACTATGTTAGTCTATGAAAAGAGTTCCATAAATAACTTGAGTATCCAGCTGTGGCTGCCTCTAAAGGTTTACATATCAAAGAATGCATGAAGGACAGTTTACAATCACACTCAGTAGAGAACAGGAGTCTCCAAGAAGGAAGCAAAATCTAAAGGACAGCAACAATGTGAAGAACTGTGTGGCGTAACTGGATATAATAATGGTTTTATCTACAATAATTAGAAGTCTGTCAATCGTGACCCTGACTCAACACGTATGCTTATGTTAAAAACTAGTTTTATCACAGCCTGATAAAAACCTCAATAAATAAATATGACTTACGATATTTCCTGCATTCACTAGAAGCACAGCTTGTATTTTCACCGGGAAAAAAAAAGCAAAGAAAAAGACATCTCCCTTGGCTATCATCAGCACATTGCTCCATTCAATGACACCTAACAAGTTTGCGCTTGTCAAAACTCACTCATAGGAAAAGAGGGCAGGCTAGAGCAATCACACTGAAGGAAATTACGGCAGAACTACATAATCTTTTAAAAGGTCACTGGAATTTGTTGAACATTGCACGTGTAAGTGCAAAAAATGCAGTACTGATCATTGGATGAGTCACAATGAGAAGTCCTCACTGAAAGTTAGTCATAACTCACTTTTGTCATTATTATTGACAAAGTTTGTTCTTGATGTCAGCTTGAGTAAACACTGCAGATGTTTCTTGATTTGTTTGGTTTATGATGTAGCACCACTTCCCCTCACAGTGCAACAGTGTGTCAGGCAGAGAGAATATTACTCCCTGGGTGGCTTTCCAAAGATGGACCTCCACCCTGCACCGCACTTCAAGGACACGGGGTTGTGGTGGAAAGGGAAGGGGACAAAGGGCTGCTGTGCGGACATGTGCGAAATACAGATAAAGAGGTGAAAACCATTAAAATATTGACGTTTTCAACCGCTGCCACATGCTGCATCAGAACACGGAGCCAGCTGCAAGTGCAGATAGCTCACTCTGTGAATAAATGCGGTCTTAACGCACAATCCTCCAAGAAGTCTTAAAGTAGCAACATGCCTGTGTATTACAACTCAGCGAAGCATGCGAACTCCAAAAACGTACAGCTGCGAATAATCAATGAAAAGCTTTCCGACGAAAGAAATCAGCTGACACATGAACGTTAGGCTGAGCAGCGATTGATTTACAGCTGTGCTTTAATGGTATTTTCAGCAGTGAGATTCACATCTGCCGGCCAAAAGCTGTGTCATTGCTACAAACTCTTCTACTTACCGAAGTCGAAAAGCGGAGAAGTTTTGAAACACTGCTTCGTTTCCCGGGGCAGCCCAGCTTTCCAAGCACTCATTCACTCCTTTCTTCGGGACTCTCTCCTTCTCCCTCCCACAAACCCGCCCCGCTACCATCTGACGCCATCCTTTCTCCCCCCCAGTTTACGCCCATCTCTCGCCTCCCCCTCTCGCTCCCATCCCCCATCCCCGCCGTGTGCCACAGAGAAAGTAGACGAAAAGTTGTAGCGATGATTAGAAAAAAAATTACTATTTCCTGGATGTTCTTATTCTCAGCTCTTCAATTAAACGCGTCGAGAACGATCTACGAACTCCTTTTTTGTCTGTGCAATGAAATTCAGTTTTTTAAATCTTAATGGGTACTGCTAAAAACACATAAGTGTAGACATATCATATATTGCGTATATTTAGGTGAGATATCATTTTACATAATGTTATTTTACTGGGATATTTGATTATTTATGTTCAGTCTGACCAATGAAATAGTCCTGGATAAATATTATCATTATGAAAAAGTGCGCCTTTCATGCTTTTTATGTTGAGGTCAACATACGTTTGAGTTATCCATGTGAGCCAAACGCCTTTTTTTGGTGTTGCCTCTGTATGATGTTACAAAAACAGAGCGATATACCTAATATTGGCCTCGCAGACACACAGCTCTGGCTGTGATTACAGCAGCAGCTGTTCAAAGCTTTTGTTTATGAGGAGGGGCCAATAAGAAGAAAGAAAGAGAGCTGCTAAAGTGGTTTAAGACATGAGGAGAGGATAAGCTGGGTGGCAGCACTGAGGCTGAGTGTGAAAAAAATAAGGAATTATTAAAAAGGGAAACTATATGGAGCTGTACATGAGAATAAGAAGTTGTCCTTAAAAAGCTGACAACAGATAAACATTTTGCTTGTGATGACTTGTGATTTGGATTTTGACTTTAACGCAACAGTTCAGCAACAAGATATCATCCTGAAACCAGTTTGCCAAATATGGAGCTAAAACCAGGAGCTGTTGGTTTAGTTTAATAAAACACTGTGTAAACAAAAAAACAGAAAAACAAAAGGTTTTAAACTGGCTTTTATGAGACCACGATAACTGTTTTAATCATTTTATCAAATATTTCTTTAAATGCATAACATTGTTACCAAAATCTTTAAGGAGTAAGGGTTTGTGATTTGAATGTTTATAAATGGTTTAAAGCGCTTGAGCTGATGGCAGCTGGACTCCTTTTAGGTTCTTGTATATGTTTTCTTCAAGCTTTTTCTGAGTTGAAGATGCCGTTCAGATAAGAGACTAAACATCTTCAACAACCTGAAAGAAGTTTAGTTGCCTTTGATTTGAGTACTTTAGACTTAACATGACTGAACTGGAAGACTGAGAACTTCAACAGATGATGCTTGTGAATGGTTTTGCATTGATTGGATCAGGTTGGCATCAACGTATAACTTAAGATAGCCTTGACTACCAGACATTTAAGGCACCAGAACAGCCTTAAAAGCTTCCCTCTGCATGTTGAGAGTAGTTTGACCTAGAGCCACGAGCCACTCTTAAACATGTTATGACAGTGAGGTATAATCAAACTGCTAAAACTTGAGGAAGACCTTCACTCTGTGAAAATTATAAAAGGAACAAATGCACTGCAGGGTGTTTTTAAAGGACTGTGTGTTGTGCACCGATAGTGTTGTGTACTGAAAGTTAAATTCCTTTATAAGTGTGTTTGTAAAAACAGCCTCATGCTGTCATAGCCAATTTTTCTCAGATCCCTGTACTGATTTCTGGTGTGTCTAATGATGTTTAAAATACATATGCATGTTTGACTGTAAGTCTGTTGCTCATCAGAAAGGCGCATCATCATCATCATCATTATTATGGCCTACATACTGTATAGCTGTGAACACTGAACCACTGCTGCAACAGGCACAATTAAAATCACAATTAAAATAAAAATAAATAAACGAAAGAGAAAAGAGAAAGAAAATGTAGTTTCAGTTTTAATTTCTCTGTATGTTTTATACAATGAATGTTATCATTTACCATTTAAGGAAACATTTAAGGAAAGTTGCACATAGTAACAGAAAATTACCAGAACATTTTCTTTTCTTTTGTTCCTGTTGGATTTTTTTGGTTTGTTTGTTGGGTTGTTGTTAGGGTTTTTTTACAGCGTGCGACCTCCCACAGTGCACTGCACATGTAGTTTAAATACCATCACTGATCTTTATTAAGTTTTGCCTGCTCTCTCCTGTAGTTTATGCATTCAGCGGGCTCGTTGTTCTCCTCTTTTCTGCCTTTTCTTTCCCCCCAGCTGCAAGCTGGTTACAGCAGATTGCTGCCTCTCCTTCAGAGTAGTTTTGCTTGAATTTGCTGTCTGTTACAGAGGAGCTATTCCTCCCCAGTGTTGTTAAGTTCAACTTATGATAGGAAGCGCCTTAAGGTGACTGCTGTAGTCTCAAGCTTCAAGCCACTTTACACTGTTTGATAACACTGACTTCAACTTAAATCTTTTTTAATTTCACGGGATTGCGTTTTTTGTCTTATTTGTCATACACCCTTCTTATTCAGTATAAGACAAAAGCTCTAAAGCTTCTCATTTTAGTAAGAAAAGACGACATACAGTCTTGACACAGTCCAGTTTGTATGTTCTAGTATTACATGTGTCACTATGATATATACTGTTTGGGTTTTCTTTCTATATTTTGGGTGTTTGTGACGACCACACTGTTTTCCGCTGCATTCCTGTTGCATACATTTTGAACAAGCCACACACAAAACCTAATAAAAAAATAAAGCCAAGAAACTCCTCTTCCAGGCCTGCTAACTCCAGCTTTCATTTAGTCTCTGGAGTGATGCAGTGGGAGCTTTTTCTTTTTTTTTTTAAGAGCTGCCGCCCTCGTGGCACTCTTCACAGACTCACACTTTACAGTTTGTCTCCTCACTCACACAGTGCCACAGTTCTGCGCTGCAGCCGAGCCACTGTATCATTTGGGTTGCCCTGCCTTCAGAACTTCCTCTTTCCACACCAGTGCTGTTTGTGTGTCTCATCTTGGTGAGAACACTGTGGGAGGCAGATAAGTCTGTAAATAGAGACGTGTGGTCATGACATAGGAAGACGTTCTTAGCTGCTGGGTAACTCCATGGGAAATGCAGACAGGACTTGGGAGACACTGGGAAAGATGAGTGGGTTTGATGGTTAGTGACTGTGGGGAGGAAGTTATGATGATGCCATTCCTGGTGCATGTGTTTACAGATTTGTATGTGGGTGTGTGTGAAAATCACGGCTGCCTGGTATATTTGTGTTAATTGCAGTAGGGCTTTTAATATATAGCTGCACACTTTCTAAAACTATCAATGCATAAATCTTGCTAGAATCTGAAAAATCTAGACATAACTGGTGGTTTTTAAGTTTCTTATAAGAAGCTGACTTTATGTGGATACAGGTTTTGTTCATGTTGCTGCCATGATGTGTAGCAGGAAGCTGGACCCAATTGCTGGAAACAGACGGAGGTAACAAAAAAAAAATCAACTTTTACTGAGGTTGAATTCAGGACGGTCCAAAATGGCACGGGGCCAACAGCAAAACACACAACGCAAGGGTAAACTGGCTCAAATCTGACAAAAGACAAAGGGTAATTGGGGCAAAGTGGAGACATCCGGGAAACTACACACAGACCTGGGAAAGTTAAAACAAGAGACAAATGCCTATCAAATCAAAACAGAAAGCAACATTACAGAGGAACACCTCAACTCACAACAACAGAGACAAAGACTCTTACAACACAATATTAGGGAATATGAGGGATGCTAGACTTAAGTAAAGGAGGAGGAGAAAGGAATCCAAGATAAATCACAAGTGAAAACACCAAACAGAATACAGCGTAACAAAAAATGAAGACCAAGAATCTTAAAGACACGAAACAAACAGAAGATAAACAGAAGATACTAACAAACAATAGGAATCAACTGGAAATTACACAAAACTGAGTCAAAAATCCAGGACCACCACAGTAGCTGGTTATTATGAAATTGCATAAGTATAACCTGCTTTGCACATGTTTTATTTGTTTACCCCACTGAGGACAGTGTTTGTCTATCCTTCATCCTAAATCTGACAATTTCTCATCTCATTTAAGGTTGTAAAATGGCACAAAACTACTAAATTTTTATCTATTAATCCACAACTTCATGATTTATATTGTGTTATAGTGGAAACAACTTGAAAGGTTTTGTAAAAACAAATTCCTAGGATTCCTTTATAAGTTAATTATGCATGTTAATTATAATTATTTGCAAATATACCAGTAAATACACCAAATACAAGCGAGCATTTGTAGTAAATCCTCATGCACATTGGTACTGAATGTATTACATTATCTGTCATTAAATTGTGAATACAGTCATATGAAAAAGAAAGCTTTCACAGGACTGTCTGCAGTCACAGGACTGCAGAACATGCAAAACATTTCTCAATGATTTTATCTGCCTCTTGCATTACTGTCGAGGAATGTTCCCCCACTCTTCTTTGCAACATTGTTTCAGTTCATTGAGGTCTCCGGGCATTCGTTGATGCGCAGCTCTCTTAAGTTTATGCCACAGCACTTCAATCAGGTTGAAGTCTGCCCTTTGTGATTGCAACACCTTGATTCTTTTTCTTTTTTTGTTCAGTGATTCTGTTGTTGATTTGCTCCTGTGTTTGCAATCACTGTCTTGTTGCATGATCCACTTTCAGTCCAGCTGTCAGACAGATGGCTTTACATTTGACTATAGAATACTTTGGTGTGCAGAGGAGTTTATGGCTGACTCAACAACTGCAAGGACTGCAACTTTGAAAAGTCGTAAAATGTAATAATTAACATGATAACTGAGGCCCGTGGAGTCTGAGATGCAGGTATTTGATGTTTAGCCGTTTCTCAGAGCACTGCATGGTCTGACATTAGGGTGAATTTACAGGGTCATGCACTCCTGGGAAAATTGTGGCATTGCATTAAAACAAGACTTAATTTTTCAGTGCAGCAAACTCCCCAAACTTCTGCTTTTATAGTCATATGACAACGTTACTTTTTACATGGCATGTTGCATATATCTTCAGACTTTAGAGGGGAAT